GGAAAGAGTTTTCATTCTCGGCCGCTTCCTCACTCTTTGTTATCCATAAGACATAGTACAGTATTTCCAGAGCTTCCCTCATTTGCAGAACATTTGGGGATGTATTTCTCTTAAAGGTGAGGGCATTTGGGGTGTATTTTGTAAATGAAAAAAAAAAAAAAGACAAAGAGGGATTCCGGGACAAGGTCACCCTAGTCTTCAGGACAAAACCAGGATTAGAATCCTAGTAATACAAATGCCACTGAAAAGTTCATCAGAGAAACTGAGATTTCTTTTTATGGCAACTTCTATGCCCAATGAATTATTGTGTTTTTAGATTTATCTACTGATAAAAAGTATTAAGTTTAGTCAAAAGGAGATGTTTTTAAACTATCAGTAAAATTGGAAGCATAAAATAGTCTATAGAATCTGCTAACTTAACACAGATCTCTGGAAAAAAATGGTGATAAAGATGATAATATTAATTTTTATTTCTCTGAAAATACTCAGACCAAAAGATGCTGAGACATGCAGCTTTGCTGTCTGGATTTATGTGGGACCCTGCTGGTCGCTTTTTAAAAGGAGAGGATGCTTGATTAGTGTTAACACTAGGAGGCTCAAAACCTGTCAAGCTTTACAAAAAAAAAAATGTTGCTTATGCCCACTGTTTTCTGTTAGGGTTTCTGCATAGTGTCAGCATTTTTAATCCCTAAGTACTTTAGAAAATATTACTCCTTAAACTCTTTACTATTTTTAAACAAAAAAAAATATGTTTTACGTAATTTTGTTTCAAGAAATGCCTCTTTTCTTTGATCACTCTCATTCTTTGGAACCAGCATACACAACTCCTACTGAGCTTCTTTCTAATCAACACAAATGCAGAGCATTCACTGAACGAAACATGGAAGTCAGAACAGAGAGAATAGAACACTAGCTTGGTATATTCTAGAAACAGAAAGGCGTGGGATCAAGTCCCCAGGTCTGCATTTCTGTTAGGTCTTTCCATCTTCCATGCTGCGCTATGGACACCCTAACACACTCCTGCCTGAGGTTTCCGGAACACTCCTTTTGCAGATAGATACCTCAGTCACTCCCACTCTGCTCAAGTGCCACCTTACCCGAGAGAATTTCTCTGACCATACTGTTTAAAACAACTTCCCTCCACCTCACTATCCATCTCCCTAACCTGCTTTATTTTATTCTTTCTTGTCTCCAACTACAGTGAGCCCTGTGAAGGCAGGAACCTACTCTGTTTTGTTGACTGCCTCATCTCCAGAGCTTAGATCATCTGTGACACAGAGTAGGCATTTTATGTGTATTTGCTGAACAAAAACACTTTCGACCAGTTCTTGGGGCCTTGTTTTAAGAGGACTAATGATCAATTACGATGTGCCCGTACGAGAGCCGTCAAGGTCTAGACACCTTTTAGTTAAGGGTTAGATTTGCTCAGTGTGGTTTCAGAGGGAGCAAAGCCACTGGGTTATAGGAAGATGGATTTTGGCTGAAATAAGGAAGAACCTGATAATAACTGCAGCTGTTTAAAAAGTATGTGATCTTTCTGTAGATGTTTATACAGATTATATGACCACTTTGGGATAATTGTAGAGGATATTTAAGCATCTTGTGCAAATTGGATTATGTTACTTCTAACATCAGTTTTTAAAAGTGTATGATTTAGGCCGGCCAAGTGGCTCGGTTGGTTAAGAGCTCACTCAAGAGTGTGAGCTCTGAGCAACAGGGTAGCCGGTTCAATTCCCGGCAGAGCTGAGCTGCCAACAGGAGGCAGGATGGTTCAGCTTAAAAAAAAGTGTATGATTTGGTACTGATTGACTCAAAAATTAATTGAGTTTGGTTCTTCTGCAAAGTGCTGCCAGGCAGATGTGTCTATTGTGTTAGCACCCTAAATCAGCGGTTGGCAAATCCCACCTCCTGGGTCAAATCTGGCCTGTCACCTCTTTTTGTAAATAAAACTTTATTGGCAGACAGCCCTGACTGTTCATTTACATATTGCTTATGGCTTCTTTCACATTGTAATGGCACAGTTGGGTAGTTCCAAGACACTGTATGAAACACAAAACCTAAAATATTTACTATGCGGCCCTTTATAAAAAAAGTTTCCCAACCTCTGCTCTTAACCAATAAACTGCAAAAAATAACACATGGAAATGTACCTATATTCAGCCTACTAATTTCCCCTTCCCCGCCTCCTCCTCCTCCTCATTCTCATAATTGTTATTATTATTATTGTATCGGTAAAGATCCAACCATAATATGCTAGATGGGAAGGGGTTGGGAGCTGGGTGAGAAAGGTGAAGAGATTAGGAAGTACAAATTGTTAGTTAAAAAATAGTCACGGGGGTGTGAAGTACAGTATAGGGGACAGAATCAATAATATTATAAAAATTATATATAGTGTCAGATGAGTACTAGATTTATCCGGGGGATCACTTCATAAATTATATGAATGCCTAACCACTACACTGTATATCTAAAAACTAATGTAAAATAATATTGAATGTAAACTATACTTTAAAAAATATATAGTCAGGGGATGTAAATTAAAGTACAGCATAGGGAATATGGTCAATGATATTGTAATAGCTGTGTACAGTGTCAGATGGGTAGTAGACTTGTTTGGGTGATCACTTTGTGAGGGTGTAAGTGTCTAATCATTATGTTGTTTTGTACACCTGAAACTAATTTAAAAAAATAGAAAAATATTCAACCATAATAATATAAACCACTGTGAATATTTAAGTAGAGGGAATATAATGCAAAAAAAATTGATTACATGGGTGATGGAAGAGGTTGACAAGCCCATAGATCAGCATCAGCAGGAAGATGCCACCCTCCTCCCAGGAAAGAGGTCATTTTATCAGAGTCCAGAAGTTGGAAGCGTAGCATGAGATGGGAGTGGGGGCTTCTGTTGCCTGAAGTTGGAGCCACAAAAAGATTCTGCTTCTGTCTAAGATGCTGCCTAAGGTGGAGAGGGCTTCTCCCACTAGTGCCTTCCATTGCCTGAACCCAACCAAAAGTCAGCTGACACTGAAGCCTGGAAAAATGGAGTTTGCAGAGTTTGTTCTCCAAAAATACAGAGCAGAGCAAGCGAAGGTGAGGGATGAGTCTAAGGTTGCCTAGACACCAAGACCAGCACAGCTGCTGATGGTTATTGTCAGGTACAGAGCTAAACAGTTTACACGAATCCTCACCTGATATTTCACCTGTATACAGCACCTGTAGACAACCTGTAACATGCCATCCTAGACTTACAGCCTGAAACGGTGCTGTGGTTTCTCTGTTTGTAACTTGTTTCTCCAGCTAGGTTGAAAGCCATGCTTGTGTGAATTTTTAGGTGGTTGGTGTTTTACAAACACTTGTTTTATGTGAAAACTTGTAACTACAGTTAAAATTATTTGTATTTTTAAAAATTAATGACATTTGCCTAAAAACTAGTCTTGTTGGATGGCAAAGCCACTTACAACCATAGCCCTTGTGTGGGATTCTCTGAAAATGGTTAGAACAGGAAAGCCTTAGCACACCATGAAACGAAAAGGCCCTCCTGGAAGCCTGTCTTTCTGCATGATACACTACGCAGCCAATGCCTAATAGTTCTTTTGCATTATATATATATAAACAAGAAGGGTAATTTGACAAGCAGAATCAGATTTGGCGTTGCAGTGTCATATTTTAATGTGCAGAAAAATATTTAAAAACAGGGCTCATAACAGAATGGAGACCTGCTGCCACCCACTATTTTCAGAACCTGAGGATTTGGACTTGCTATGGTAGAAATTTGAACCACAGTGTATAGGAAGTAATGATGACCATGCAAATATTTGCACATTGTGGTCTATTGTTTTTGCTCGTGCTTCAAGGGACCATTTACTGACCTCAGAAAACTACAAATATAAAGTAAATGTGGCGATTTAAGGGAAGGTTGTAAAACATCCTCAGAATTATCTTTTTTTTTGTCTGTAACATACTCATCATTTATTCACAATTAAGAGTTTTATCTGGTGATTTCTTCTGTTCTCCCATATTTAAGGGGGATTTTTCTCGGTCAGAGTTCGAAAAGTAGTAGCTTTGTGTTTTAGGTGCTACAGCTGCAGAACTCCAAAAGATAAGTCAAATTAGGTCATATTGCTCAAACACTAAGAGATGTTATACTTTTAATTCTTTATGAACTTAAATATTGAATTTAGGATGGTCCTGTGGTATTTGGAAGCTAGACCTAGCTACACTGGCAAGATTTCTGTCCCAAAAAAATTCAGGTAGAAGAAACTTTCCAAATTTTTGAAAACAAATAATTCTCTCTTCGCCCTCTCCACATCCTCCTCTCTCCTCTACCCAACACATGTACATGTTTTAAACCAAATTAGTGTATTATTTTTTGTGATGTCAACGATTAAATGTAAATCTTAATAAGTCCAAGTTCCTTGAATTTGAAGGTGTTTAAACTTGAGGCCTAGCATTTTGCCCAGTTCATTCCATGTCTTAAAATATGGTTTTTGTCAGGGCTAGACAGTAAACAGCTATTGCAGTAGTGATCCAAACCACAATTAATAGTGCTGAATGTCATGTTACAAACCTGCCTCTTGATTCCTTAAAATAAAGAGTTGGGAGTAGCTGTGGCAACTGGACCTCAAATACTGCTACAAAAAAAGATTTTGTGTTTTAGTTTCTTCACCTAGTTTTTATGTGCATTTATAAGGAGATACCTGATGGATTGATTGCAAAGTGGGCTATGACATACATCTGAGTATAAACTTATATGGAAACTGTCTAACACTTAACTTTGTTTAAATGACTTCAGTTATTTCTTCTGTGGCTAAGATTACAATTCAGACACTTCAGTCTGAATACTGGTTGTAAAACAGTAAAGCAAATGCCAGAATTATGGCCAGAGAGTACGGTAGTGAGCTAATGTGATGGAGTTCAGGCAATTTTAATTTCAGGGACATTGTCCCTTGGTTTTGGAATTTTTCAACAATCGTACCATTTATGATTTTATTTTATTTTAGCCATGTCCTTTGGGGGCCCGAGATTTTCGAGAGAAACAGTGTGCAGACTTTGACAATATGCCTTTCCGTGGAAAGTATTATAACTGGAAACCCTATACTGGAGGTAATGTATAACCTGGCAGAGCATTCATCATGCTTGAGAGCTTTGCAAACATAAAAGAATATATAAATACATACAAACACACACATACATTCCTACATGTACTAGTAAAAATTAGTGCTTGCAAATCAAAGCAGGATAGTGCTTATGGTTCTATAACAGTCTCATGTTTTAGTTTTCCTGTAATAAAGTTTATATGTTAGTATAAATCAAAAATCATTTTTAAAAACGTAATTCTATTTAACCATGTACAAAGGTCCTAGAAAGAATATAAAACTAAATGATATTTTTGAATTTTTGAGACTTTGGATATATGGACATTACATTATAATCACTGAATATTTGGAATTATCACCCTAAAAACAAATTATAACAATATAAATCAACTCAAAAGAGGCCAGAGAAATCTGTCCTTTCTTGGGGAAAGGCCAAAGATCTTTTCATAGAATTTTTTTTTATCCTTTTTTAGTGTTGCAAAACATTTTTGCTCTTTAATTTGGGCACATACCAAACACTAATTGTTCATTAAGCACAAGAAGTTTTCTTACACTTTCAAAATGCAAACTAAATTTAAAATTTTCTCTTGGGAAAATTGAATGTATGTTTAAATTTTTTATTGTTTGTTTTTTGAACATCTTTGAAAATTTTTCAACATAGAACAATATTAAAATAATTTTGCATACCGACTACCAGAATTCTACCATTAATATTTCAGTGTATTTTTTTTTATTATATGTCTAGTCATCTTTCTATCCATTCATTAATCTATCCTGTTTTTTTGGATGCATTTAAAGCAAATTATAGTCATTAATATACTTTCCTGTAAGTACTTCAGCATGTGTAACATTAACCACAGTTTCAATATTTATTTACTTTTTTTTTGAGGTAACATTATGTACAAATGCATAAATCTTAACTGTGTTTTCTCTGAGTCTTGACAAATGCATACACCTGTAAAACCCTACTGAGATATAGAACATTACCAGAGCCTCCAAAATTCTCCTAATCCTCATAGTCCTTCCCAATCAACAGCTGTCTCTACCTAGTTCTCCCAAGAGGCAATGACTGATGTGATTTTTTTTTCTTTCCATAGATTAGTTTTGCCTGTTCCAGAACTTCATATAAACGAAATCATGTCTTATTTACTGTTTTATACAAGTCTTCTTTAAGCCTAACGTTTTTGAAAGCCATCCACATTATTGCATGTATTAGTAGCTCATTCCTTTTTATTGCTAAGCAGTATTCTATTGTAATAACTAGTTTGTTTTTCCATTCTGCTATTGATGGACACCTGGGTGTTCATAGTTTTCAGCTCTTATGAATAAGCTGCTATGACATTTGCATGCAGTGTTTTTTGTGGGAATATATTTTCATTTCTCTTGGATAAATATTTAGGGGTGGAATTGCTAAGCAATAGGGTAGGTATGAGTTTAGTTTTAAAAGAAAGTGCCAGATATTTTTCCAAAGTGATGGTACCATATCACACTCCCACCAACAACATATGAGTTCTGTTTGTTCCACATCCTTATCAACATCTGATATTTTCAGTCTTTGTCTGGTGGGTTTATGTAGTTTTAGTTTGCATTTCTGATTATTAACTATGTTGAGCATGTTTTCATGTGCTTTTTGACTGTTTATATATCTTCTTTCAATCCTTTACCTATTTTTAATTCATTATTAATCTTTTTATTCTCTGGTGGTAGTAATTTATCAGTTAACTTTTACAAATATTTTCTCACAGCCTGTTGCTTTCCTATTGTTTTTTTAATTATATCTTAGATGAGCATAGGATTTGAATTTTGATGAATTCTGGTTTTTCAATTTCTCTTTAATTTTATGGTTATTATGTTCTGTGTCCTGCCTCAGAAATCTTTGCTTACCTCAACTCAAAAAAACATTTTCTTATGTTTTCTTCTAAAAGCCATGTTTTGGGTCTTTACATTTAGATCTATAATCTAAAAATAATTTTGGGGTACGGTGTGTATTTATAGTGTATTTATGGACTCAATTTTGTTTAATCAATCTCTTTGTCAACCCTATGCTAGTACTACACAGACTTAATACTTTAACTGTATAGTCTTGGACAGGGTAGTCCCCCAACTTTGATTTTTTTTTTCAAGAGTTCTTTGGATATTCTAAGTGCTTTGCATTTCCATATAAATGGCAGAATTTGCTGTTAATTTCTACAGGGAACCATTCTGGGCTTATGCTTGATGTCATGTTGAATCTATAGATCATTAGAGGGAGAACTGATAAATTCAAATGTTGGATTTTCCATTTTATGAACATGGTATATGTCTCCATGTATTTGTTTTCTTTAATTTCTTTCAGCTATGTTTTGTAGTTTTAGGTGCAAGGTCTTACCTATCTTTTGTTAAATCTGTTCCTGAGTAATTTATGTGTTTTGACACTAATCATTTTATTTTGTTTGTTTGTTTTTTAATTTTTTGTAGATTGCTTAGGATTTTCTGGTAAATAGTTATGTTATTCGGAAATAGAGACTATTTCAATCTTTATGGCTTTAATTTTATTTTATTGCCTTAATGCATTGGCTTGGCGTTCAGTACAATTTGTGCATATTCTGATTATATGCGATTTTCTTCTTTATTCTGTTAATATGGTGAATTACTTGATAAATTTTATAATGCTAAACCAACCTTTTTTTCCCAGGATAAACCCCCTGTGATGATGATGATTTGTTATCTTATTGTATGTTATTGTATTGGATTTAATTGCTATTATTTTATTTAAAATGTTTGCATCTATGTTCATGAGGAATACTAGTTTCTAAATTGTATTTATTTTTTGGTCACATCTTCGATGAGTTTTGGTATCAGAATTACTCTGGCTTCCAGAAATAGAATCCTTATTTATTTTGAGAGAGTTTATAGGATTGGTATTATTTCTTCCTCGGAATAATAGATTTCACTAGTAAAACCATGTAGGCTTGGTGTTTTCTTTATAAAAAAAATTTTTATTACAGATTCAACTCCTTTAATAGACAAAGAGCTATTCAGTTTTTTTTATTCTTAAGTCAGTTTTTGGATTCGTATCTTCAGGAAGTTTGTTACTTCCATGTTGTCCAATTTACTGACAGACAATTGATCAAAACAGTCTCTCATAATCTTGTTTAATATCTGTAGGATCTGTAGTGATGTATGCTCTTTCATTTCTGATATTCATAATATGTATATTATTTTTCTTGATCAGTCTTACTTGAGGTTTATTAATTTTATTAACCTTTTCAAAGAATCAACTCTTGGCTTTAGTACTTTTCTCTATTACTCTTTTTCCTCTTTCATTAATTGTTGCTCTTATGTTTATCATTTTATTTTTTATTATGGGTTTATTTTACTCTTCTGCATCTCCAAAATTTGATGTGTTTTTATTTCCTTCAGTTCAAAATATTTTCTTATTTACATTGTGATTTCTTCTTTGACCCTTAGATTATTTAGAACTATGTTATTTTTATTTACAAATATTTGATATATTCTAGATTTTTTTGTTATTGATTTATAATTTAATTATTTTATGGTCAGAGAATACTCAGTATGATTTAAATTTTTTAAATTAATTGAGAGGTTTTTTTGATACAGCTTGTTATCCATGTTGATGAATGTTCTATGTATATTTGAAAAGGATGTGTTGATTACTGAGGGAAGTGTGTTGAAAATCTTCAATTGCTGTATGGCTTTGCTTTCTTTTTTTAAAGTTTTTGTCTCATGTATTTTGAATAACTTTTATTAGGTGCTTATACATTTGGGATTGTTTTGTCTTATGGTAGAAGTAAGTGTCTGAAATAACTCATAGATTTAATAATTAGCATCTAAGTAGTTGTGTGCTGATGAATTAACCCTAAATTCATAAGCTTTAACTGAAGGTAATTGTTAATGTGAACTTCCATTTCGCAAATCATCTTTAATCCCTTCTTGAAAGAACAGCAGTACTTCTGAAAACTCACTGTAGCAGAGGAATCGGAAAACATTTTCAGCAGTAAAAACGAAGAGGAAATTTATTCCTATTATTATCACATAGTGTGGTGGGCTAAAGAATACAACCATAGCTTTTATATATCTTGCCTATAAAATACTACCTTACATGATTAATATAGTATTAAAATTGAGTAAACAAAAGACTCATATTCTCTTTTTAAAGCCTGATACATAAAAAGCTACATTAAATTCCAAAGAATTATAATTAAAATTGGGAAAAGAAGTATATTGGGTAGTAATGAAAAAAATCCCAGTAATATTCATGAAAATGTAGAGCAGTTTTATTCATGAGAATCTTTCAAAAATAGATATAAATATTTTAGTTATCAGTTCAGTAAGAAATTATTCTATTTATTACTTGTTATTCCTGTGCTCAGTACAGCAAAATGGATTATTTACCTAAGCCTAATAATAACATTATAACTTAGAAGTTCTATAGCCTGTAAACAAAGAAAATGGATGAAAACATGAACTTAGGCCAGAGGCTGTAAACTGGCAGGTGAAGAACCAGTTTTTACTTAACATATGCGTTTTAGCGTCCACAATATTTTTGAAATCTTTGAATGAGTTGCCAAGAAGAGCTTATATTTTAAAAATCTAGGTTTTTATTTTCTCTTATAAAAACAGGATGTCTGACAATATTGGGCAATCTTCTTGTAAAACAACAATCAACTGTGGCAATGATCTCCTTTGGTAGAATGTCCTCTCTCCCCCTTACCAGTGTCTTCACTATCCATTTGGCTTCTCTCTTTTACTTCACATACCTTCACCCTTCAGCATCCTGGTTTCTACCTTCACTGAGACCTAGGCATGTGATTTCATCTTTCTGCCTTATTTTCTTTATTAGCAATTGTCTTTATTTCAAAGAGAAATTTTATCGCCATAATGAATATAAGACCAAAGTATTTTAAACTTCATGAGATGAAGAAAACCCCCAGAAAATATTCTTAAGTCATATTTTTAATCAGTAGTTACATATTTATAAATAAATTTTTCATGCACTGTTTTGAATAAAATAACTCCATGTTTATTGCTGCTTTTCCAGTATACTATGAGGTTATGATATATACTGTTTGTTGTTTTAAATTGTTACTATTTATGCCTATTTTTGTTATCAACCTTACAAATGACAAATTTCAATGGCAAAATTAAAATGCTCAAGTTATTATATGCATTTGCTCACAAAATAAAATTAGATATTGTTTTAATAATTTAACTTTAATGCTATAAGTAGTATTTATCTTTGATTTATTAATCTCATAAGAAATATTCAAATTTAATGCTATATAACTAATTTTATCTTTGATTTGCTAATCTGATTAAGAATTTATGTCCATGCTAAAGGCACGTTCATGAAATATGATATGTTTAAAATAGGTACAAATTTAGTTTTATTTTACAACTACCATATCCCTGCTTGAAGTAGCAGAGTTTTTGTATCAGCTTCAGTAACAAGTTACATATGTTGCAGGAATTCCTATTTGTCATATGAGGTTATTGTCTCAAGCCTCCTTAAACTTTATTTCCTTAGTTCACTTTTTAAAATACTTTTAATTTCATTTATTGTTTTCAACATTCAATACCTCTACTGTGATTCCTTTGGGCCTAAAATATATTGTAAATATATATTGGAAATACCTAAAAATTTTAAACTTTAAAACTGCTTAACAGGTCCTTCATCAAGTTGCACAAGCAATGAAAATAAACATCAACTTTTAGCAAAAGAGGAAAGAAGCCTATACATCTAGGTATATAGGTAGTCAAGGAGTGGTGTCCATATGAATTACAAATTTGCTATGGATAACATTGAATCACTGTTCCGTAGGAGAATCACTCCATCTATTTCTTTTCTACTTTGTTTGTGCAGGTGGGGTAAAACCTTGTGCATTAAACTGCTTGGCTGAAGGTTACAATTTCTACACTGAACGTGCCCCTGCGGTGATTGATGGGACTCAGTGCAATGCGGATTCACTGGATATCTGTATCAACGGAGAATGCAAGGTTGCTCAGATTATGAATTTCACTTCTTCTTCTTGGGGGGTTTGAGACTTTTCTCTTTTTCTTCAGATAGTAGCTACTAATTAATACCATGCTCAGTTTTAATAACGAAAGCTACAATTTTCAATAAGGACAACAATATACATATAGTTAAAGGTAGAATGACCCGTTGGTATTCAAGCACCATGCAAATATGATCTAATTTGGTGTTCTAGTTATGTTTATAGTGGTGGCTTGAGCTACGAGAATATTTTGGACTTTAATTTCCATTACTAAGATTCTGTTCTGTTTATAAACAAGATGATAAAGAGAGGGAATGAAAATTCAGCTCTTATTTATATAGCTACCATAGGTTCTCCTTGGAAGATTATTTGATATATTTCATACCATAATTTTTCCTCAAAGTGTGAAACAGCTACGCTCCTCATACTCTGTCTCCTTTTAAAGCATTTACAATGGTTTTCCTTATAGAGTTAGTCTTTACCTTATTAAAGAATTTACTCTGGAGAAGTAGCCAGACTAGCTGCGAGTTGTAGGAGCAAATCCATGCTGTTTTCCTAGACCTGTGTAGGAATCTTATCATAAGCCACAAAAACCATTGCTCTCAATTTTTCTTGTTTTCCTTTTACTTTAAAAAGAAGCACATATCCCAGAAACTAAAAAAGAAGAGATAAAAACACTGTCTATTTTACTTAGTCTCATAATTCCTTATAAAATTTTCTGTCCTTCTGACTACTAGCTCCCAAATATATCGGATAATCCAGTGTGTGTGTGTGTGTGTGTGTGTGTGTGTGTGTACTTGAGAAAAAAGATGTTTTGTAACAGTGTTAAACATTTTTTTTAGATAACAAAGACCTAGGTACAGGTTTCATTCAGAGATTACATGGCTGGTGTTTATGGTTAAATGTCAAATATACAAATTCAAGTACCAAAATATATAAAAATCCACATTTCTGTGATTACATGCAAAATTGAAAGGTAGATATTCAGCTTCTAAAATTTTATGCTTATGTCTCCTTTTTGTTTATGATCATTTTATTCACTTAGTGGATACAGGTATTCATTTTTAAAATTTAACCAGACATGAATTCCACACCTAATCCTTGACATTAACAATTGGATATCCAAATGAGCCAATGGTTTAGAAAGGGCAAACCGTAGCACTCAGTCAAGACTCTTGCTGTTATAACCCTGTATGGGACCAAATACCATTTTTCTTAGTTCTGGCATTTCTTACTTTAGAGTATAAGTAAGAGCCCATTGCTAACTAATTATACTATTTTAAGAGTTGGAGCATGGATTCTATAAATAAAGAAGAAATCTAGGTTAGAAATCTAGACATACATTCTTGGGGAATCAGAATTTTTTTCTTGAAGCTTACATGTTGAGAAATGTTAGCTAGAACTTACTGGAGAGTGAAGGTAAAAGTGGAAAGAGGAAAATATGTCCTGTTTTGATTTCCTTTACTGGAAAAACAAGTAAATAAATAAGTTATATTGATTTGGTTAGTAAGACTTCCTCTTTTTGACACACTGAATATTCTTCTCTGTTTCCAGCATGTAGGTTGTGATAATATTTTGGGATCCGATGCTAGGGAAGATAGATGTCGAGTCTGTGGAGGGGATGGAAGCACTTGTGATGCCATTGAAGGGTTCTTCAATGATTCGTTGCCCAGAGGAGGTGAGTGTGTAGAAAGAACTCTTCCTCACACCTCTGGTGTACTTGGAATAGCCAAAACATTAGATTCCCCTCCCCCCTGATTTAAATTTCTTTATTTAGGTAGGCATTGTTTTTTCCCCAAATTGCTTTCAGTCCTTTAAGTAATAAATATGGCTACATGTAAGATATTTTAAGTAAATATTATTCCCTTTCTACTTGTCTTCATTTAGCCACGTTTCTTTAAGATGGGAATTCCCACAGAGCATTGATGTGAGGATCATGGTTGAGAAAAAGAAAAAAAAACAAAAACATGAACTAATAATATACATATTGAGGCTTTAAAGCTATCTTGAGATAATTTTAGAGAAAAAGAAAATATTCTAGAGGTATTCATGAGCCCAAGAGGGAATTTGCCCATGTTTCATAATGTGTAAAGTGAAAAGTCAAAGAAAGCATGGAAAAATAAGGAAACTGTGATTATTGAATGGTTACTAAACACTCATTTTCTGACCAAGGCTGCAGAATCTACTTATTACTGGCCATCTTCTGTGTTCCAGGCTACATGGAAGTAGTGCAGATACCAAGAGGCTCTGTTCATATTGAAGTCAGAGAAGTCGCCATGTCAAAGAACTATATCGGTAAATAGCATATTATTTGCCTTTGCAGTCAAATCCCCTCAGCCTTAGTGTCAGGCAAACATTCATCTCTTGTCTGACTTATGTATTTAATTTTATTTGTCTGGATTTTCACATAAATGGGATAATGCAATATATACTGTTACATCTGACTTTTCTTTCACTCAGCATGTTGTTGAGATTCATCTATGTTGCTGAGTATATCCAAAGATCACTCCTTTTTATTGCCAAATGATGTCCCAATATGTGAATGTATTATATTTTGTCAGTTCACTTGTTGATGAACATTCAGGTCATTTTCAGTCTTTGACCATTATGAGTAAAGCTCCTTTGAACATTTTTAGACAAGCTTTGTGTGGACATATATTTTCATTACTCCTGGGTAAAAAACCTAGGAGAGCAATGGCTAGGTTATATGATAGTTACATATTTAACTTTATAAGAAATTACTAAACTGTTTTCCAGAGTGGTTGTAGAAGTCATGTAGAAGAGTCCCAGTTGCTCTACATCCTTGTCAAAATTTTCAGTCTTTTTAATTTTACCTATGCTGATATCTTTTTTTCTGTGGGAAGTGTAAAGTGTCTACACAAATATTTTGCCTATTTAAAAAAATTTTATGAAGTCATGATCCCTTTATGTATCCTACACCAGTCTTTGTTCAAATACATGTTTTATGAATACTTTCTCCCACTCAGTGGCTTAGTTCCTATTCTGAATGGTGTCTTTTAATTTATTATGAAATCTAATTTACTAAATTTCTTATGGTTTGTACTTTCGTGTCCTACCTTAGAAATTCTGCCTACCCAAGGCTGCAAATATTATCTTCAGTGTTTCCCCAAGAAATTATAGTTTTAGCTTTTACATTTAGATATATGCTCCATTTTGAGTTTTTATATAAAGTATAAACTAAGGGTTGAGGTTCAATTTTTTTTCATATGGCTATTCAATTACTATATCACCATTTGTTGAAAAGGCTATTATTTCTCCCATTTTATTACCTTGATACTTTTGTTAGAGATCAATTGAACATGAATATATGGATCTATTTCTGTTCCCTCATATTGATATATATGTCTATCCTAAACCAAAACCACATTGTACTCATTAATAGGTTTTTCCAGTAGATCTTGAAAATAGGAGCTATGGTCCTCAAATTTGTTTTTTTCCCTCAAGATTATTTTGGCATTTTGAAGTTCTTTACATTTCTACATACATTTTAGAATCAACTTGTCAATTTCTACAAAAAGGGAATATATGGAATCCATAGATAAATTTGAGGAGAATTGACATCTTAAAAAATATTATCTTCCAATAGATGAAAAGAGTTAACTATATTTATTTAAGTTTTTGCATTTGTTTACCAGTGTTCATTTTTCAGTGTACAGGTCTTGCACATATTTTTTCTTTGTCACTAAATATTTCATGCTTTTTGATGGTATTGTAAATAGTATTCATATTTCAATTTTACTTTTCAATTGTTTGTTGTTATTATGTAGCACTGCAATTGATTACCTTTGACCTGGTCCTGTGACCTGGTTATACTCACTTATTAGTTCTAATCGTTGATTTTTTAGATTTAGTTTTTAATATAGACTATCATGTCATGCTTGAACAACGGCAGTTTTACTTCTACATTTCCAATCTTTATGCTTGTTATTTCCTTTTTCTTCCCTTATAATAATGGTCAGGATCTTCAGCACAATGCTGAGTAGAAGTGAGGATTTGGACATCCTTTCAGCGCTACTGGTCTTCAGGGGAAAATGTTCAGCTTTGTTTTACCATTAAATATGATTTAGCTAGAAGATTTATGTAGATGCTTTTTTATCATGTTGAGGAAATCCCCTTTTATTTCAAGTTTACTGAGATTTTTCTTCATGAACGGGTGTTGAAGTTTTCTGAATCTTTTGCATGATTATGTGTGTTTTTTTCTTCTCCTTTTTCCTGTTAATATAGTAAATGCATTGATTGGTTTTCAAATGTTAAATCAACCTGGCATTTTTGGGATAAACACCACTTTGTCGTAATATATCAGCATTCTTATATATTGCTCCATTGATTTTTGTTAAGAATATTTCCATTTTTGTTCATGGGTGATATTGGTCTGTAGTCTTTTCTTATAATGACTTTATTGGTTTTGATATCAGGATAAACCTGGCCTCAAAAAATGAATTGGGAAGTGTTCCTTTCTCCTCTACTTTCTGTAAGAGTCTGTGTAAAATTGATATTATTTCTTAATGTTTGATGGGATTCAACTGTGAAGCCTTCTGGGCTGGAGTTTTATTTGTGGAAAGTTGTTAATGAAAAATTCAATTTCTGTAATAGCTATAAAGTTGTAGAATTTATTGACATAAAGTTGTGCATAATATTCCCTATTGTCCTTTTGATGTCTGTAGGGTCTGTAGCCATGGCTCTTCCACCACCCCCACCCCACCCCCACCCTCACCTGCCCCATGCATTTTTTTTTAATTAGTTTCAGGTGTACAGAACAAAATAATGATTAGACATTTACACCCCTCACAAAGTGATAACCCCAACAAGTCTACTAACCATCTGACACCGTACATAGCTACTCCAATACCATTGACTATATTCTTTATGCTGTATTTTACACCCTGAGGGATATATATATATATATATATGTATGTATTTTTTTTTTTTACTCCTGACGTTGGTAATTTATGTGGGGTTTTTTTCCCCATGATCATTTAGTGAGGGCTTTATTAACTTTATTGTTCTTGTCAAAGAACAAGTTGTTGGTTTAAATAATTTTTTAAATTATTTTTCCATTTTTAATTACTGCAATTCCCACTCTTCTATTTATTATTTCCTTTTTTCTTTCCACTTTCGTGTTAGCTGTTTTTCTAGCTTCTCAAGATAGAAATTTAGATCATAGGTTTTTAACATCTTTTTTCTACTGTAAAATAGCATTTGCACTATGAACTTTTCTCTAAGTACTACTTTAACTTCATCGCACATATTTGGTTATATTGTATTTTTGTCATTCAATTTTAAATATTTTCTTATTTACCATGTCTCATAGCTAAGAAGGTATTATTTAATTTCCAAGTATTTGGGGGTTTCCCAGATCTTTTTCATTACTGATTTCTAGTTTAATTCTATTATGGGCAGAGGACATACTTTGTATAATTTTAGTTCTTTTGTTGAGGTTTGTTTTATGGCCCAGCATATGGTCATCTTAGTGAATGTTTCATGTGCACTTGAGGAGAATGTATATTCTGGTGTTATTGGGTTTAATATCTCATAAATATCAGTTAGATTAAATTGGTTGATAGTTTTATTCAAGTCTATTATATTCTTACTTATTTTCTGCCTTCTTGTTTAAGCAGTTTCGGAACACATTGAAATCTCCAGCTAGAATTGTGAATTTGTTCATTTCTCTCATTATTTTGTAAGGTTTAGGTTCAGAGTTTAGTTTAGTCCAGAGTAACCTTTATGCTAGAATTTGCTCAGCCTCAATAAAAAGGCATAATTCTTTTTGGGTGCCCTAGTGGTTAAAACTCTGAATTCTTACTCTGGAAATTTTTCTGCTGATAGCTCCCTAGTAGATATAGGTTGGTTTATTTGTTTGTTTTTGTTGTTGTTTTACCTGGCTTCATGGAACTTTATTCTATACATACAGAGATTACTATTCAGCAACAGAGTCCCTCCTACTCTGTTTCTCTGATCCTGCAAATTCCAGATCTCTTAGCCTTTCCAGTTTCTGACCTCCGTCTTCTGAGTGAGACCACCATGCTCTACTTGGATTCTCTTGTTCTACACTGATAGAAAGTGCCTTCAGGCAGAAAGCTGGGGAGATTCTACAGTGCACCTTGTTTCCCTTCTTGCGTATATTACAGTCGTACACAGTCCTGGCCAGTGTCTAAGGACAGCTGATTCATATATATATTTTATTGGGGAACAGCCACAGTCATTGGTTACACATTGCTTTCATGCTACAATGGCATAGTTGACTTTTTTTTAGGGAGGGCACAGCTCATGCTGGCCCACGCGGGAGTCAAACCGGCAACGGTGTTATCAGCACCTCGCTCTAACCAACTGAGCTAACTGGTTACCTGTGATTCATATATTTTGTGAGTTTTCTACTTGTTTACAGTTGGAGGGCAAGTCCACTACCAGTTATTTCAACAGAAAAGAAGTAAAAGTTCTATTTATTTGACACTTGATCCTTTGAGTCAGATTTAGACTCTCTAGAGACCCCTTGTGAGATCTGGATGAGTTCTAGTCTCTTTAAAATATCATCTCCTTTTCTTTAAGTCTTTTAAAAATAAGAATACAGCTAGAATGCATCTTTAGATAGAACACCAGTATAATCAGACTCTTCCTTTATTTAAGAAGACCCCTTTGTTTTTACATCATAATTTTGAATTCTTTACTGCCTTAGCAAGACTCAAAGCAAAAATAATATGTGTAACATCACATTTTTCCCTTTTATAATTCTCTGTTCATAATGCCACATCTTCCTCCCTTAGTAAATTATTATTTAGTACTTCTTAAATCCTTGGTGTTTTCTGAGCTACATTATCATACCAGCAAAGGTATGTTTGGATTCCTTCATTGAGTAGTTGAGAAAATGGAAAGTGAGAGCTCAAATTGAAGGAGAATACAAAGCTGCTGGGTGGGTTTTTTAAATTTTTATTATTGTTTTATATTATACAGGCTCAGATGTCTTTATATAATCTAAGTAATTTTGATGTTTTAAATGAGACAGAAAACCACTGAGAGAATTGAAAATAAAAATTATTAAATATAAGAAAAATTTAAGACTAAATAATCCTTAAAATTGGTTGACATGTTCCTATATCAAAAGATTAGATTTATTTTTGATAAGTGAATCTTCACAACATATCTGACATCAAGAAAGTACAAATATGTATGCCAGAAAGTACAAATATGTATGCCAGGCAGATTAGAGTGGGGGTATGAAAATGGTCTATACTATTAAGGACAAGTGGTAGAGGTCCAAAGAGGCAGATTCTGCACTA